GATTCCAACGAGCTATTAATCGTCTTTTTACAATCACTAGGTACTGAGAAATTTAGCAAAATGTTAAATGGCGCAGTAAACGTAAATCAAGAAATATAATAATGCCGATGCTTAACATTTTGTTGAATAACTCATCAGCCAGTGATCGCAAAAGGATAAAACTACCACCATTCGATTCATCTCAGTGAGACGATTCTAACAAGCTATGATACATCTTTGTACGATTATTAGATGCCAAGTTATTTAATATATTATTTATATAACTGTGATTATAAACGGTTTTTTTTAATATAAGATTTTTAGGATAAGTGTGATAGTGACTATAGATAGATTGTGACTATATAGGATAGTTTTTAATAATAAAGTGTTTTGAACATTCAACTGGTGTGACTATATAGTAGAATGTGACTATAACAGGAGTGACTATAGCGGGAGTTGACTGTATTTCAAAGTTTTTCTATTTATATTGATACTATATTTAACATTTCATGTATCTGATTTTCAGCAGAAAGATATTCTAATCCATTTGGACTGTAAATCTAAGAAATTGAATTGTAACTAGTTAAAAATTAATAAATTAGTTTATAAAATTTTTCTTTAAATTTAACAAGATAACAAATTTGTAAATTTAATTGTATATTGTTTATCTATTTATTAAATACTTTCCACTTTTGAAGATAACTTTTAGGAATATTACTTGCCATATTTAATTTTTCCAAAAAGTATTAAATGAATTGTTTGTAAATTTCACATCATTCAAGATACTGTTTTGCAGTTTTTAATTCATATAGCCATCTTTGTTAAATTAGTTATTGATATTTGATAAGTTTATAATTAAAAACAGTTTTATATAGATTGTAAATAAATTATCTTTGTCATTTAAACTATAATTATTATGTAAATAAAAGCTAAATTAAAAATATTATATAGATGTTCTTTCAATAATAGACTCTTCATTACATCTACTTTTTTAAAAGAAGCATTTTCAAAATTTATTAGAGTAATATAGGTTGTAAAACTAAAACTTAATATCTAGCAAAACTTCTAAAACTTGGTAAAACTAATAAAAATACTTGCTATGAAACTATTTTTTATAATAAACTTAATTGCCTAAACTGTTTTTATGCTTTTCTAAAATTAATTATAGTTTAAGAAAGTTTCAGTTAAAAATAAAGTTTTTGAATTTTTAGATTTTTAAATTTTATTGTTAAATAAGTTTTAGGCAGCAACACTAAAAACTGGTTTCGAAAAATGTACAAAATTCTGAAACTAGTAAAACAAAAGTAAATCACATTTTACATGAATTTTTGATATTTTTAGACTAAATTTTTTTTGCAAATCATCAAATTTAGGTTAAAATGTATCTCAACGCATAAAAATTTGGTGTTAATATCATTTATTACAGTTTATATTTATATATAAAATTATAAAAATAAAGTAAATCACTTTTTTACATGAATTTTTAATATTTTTGGGTTAAATTTTTTTGTGAATCATCAAATTTAAGACAAAATATATATTAATACAAAATTTCAGCATATATTTTATATAAAAATTTGAACTTTTTCCATGTTAATATCATTTATTACAGTTATTTATACTGGTAAAAAAAATGATCTATTCTACATATAATCTTACATATATCGGGCTCAAAATGTAGAAAATTTTACATATATCATACACATCGAGTTCTTACATATATATCATACATATATCAGATATCTGTCACAATTTTTGTTACTCAAAATTGTTTTGTAATACCAAAAATTCATCTGATTGATGATCACTTGACTAAATAATAAGTTGAACAAAATTTACATTTACGAAACTTAAATTACTAAATGTAAAAAAGCTGTGAAAAAACCCATTTTTCATATATATGGAATTTTTAACATATATTATTAAAAAGTAAGTATATTTTAATAAAATATAAAGTAAAATAAAAATTTATATAGCCTTAGTAGCTATAAATGTTTATAAAAGTATAATAAAAATATCATATAAAAGATGGTATCATAATAGATATTTTCAAACAATAAAAATAATTATTTTATATCAAAATTTGTATTACCATCTTTAAAAACAAATATATCAAGATTCACTGATCCGTTTTCTATAATTTTAGGCTCGTTGGAAAGCCCTTGTTCTGGACTTTATAGGCGAAAAAAGAGCTCGCCAATTGAATTATTAGATTCAGAGATATTTACGTTTAAAGTTGAGGTACGAACTTTTTAACATGCTTAAATGCAAATGTCTTGGGATCCACTGATCTATTATGTATAAATTTAGGCTCTTTGAAAAGCTCTTAATCTGGTTTATATGAACGAAAAAAGAGCTTGCCAATTGGATTACTGGATCTGGAAATATTTACGTTTTAAGTTAAGATATAAATTTTTAACATATATAAATTATATTAATTTAAAAGAAATATTTACCAAATTATAGTATACAGTCAACTCCCTCTATAGTCACTCCCGTTATAGTCACATTCTACTATATAGTCACACCAGTTG